AAGGGGGGGGGGGGAATGAAAAAAAATTGTAAAAAGGCAAATATTTTGTACAAAAATACAGTTTTAAAAGCTCTTTAAGTATATTTCATATTATTAAGAGTTGGCCTATATATCTCTATGTCTGCATATTTTTCCTACATTTGGGATTTTAGAAATGTAAGGTACTGTTTACACAGTATATGTGTAAGTTCTTCCTAAAGCTCAGCAACCGATGATAATCTTTTTATGATCGGAGCATTCCATACTTTGGAAGATATGATTTGCATAACTGTACGGCTACTGGCTGAAAAATCTGTAATTCAGTCCATTTGCATACTGAAAATCAATATCTCATACCGGGGAACATTTTTGTTCCAAAGTCCTTGAGTGATGGCAGATGGTAAAGAACATTAGCTGTCAATTTTTTTTGTAATTGGTTTTCAGTGCTTTTTTTCCAATCTGGAGAGCAGGTGATGCAATCAGAAGGGAGTATCCTTTGCCTTTGAGAACTGTCCGAAAATTTGATCATGTGATTACATCACAGTCCATTATAATGAAGATGATAGTACTAAAAGAGAGGAAAAAGGATGGCTGTTAGTTTTTTAAAAAAAAGAATAATGTTAATGTACAGTTAAAAAAAAAAAAAGGAACATGTGTTTTTTATAGAAAGATTCCAAAATACATCATTCAATGTTTTTTTCAAAGAAATGCCTAGAAGTTCTTATTCAGATAAAGTAAAAGGTAATTTTCATTTTGAAGGAGCCTATTCTGGGGAAATCTAGTCCCAACTCAAGTCCCAAATAACCAAACAAGGGAAACATATGACAAATCTGGGTAACTTGTCACTCTTTACTGTAACCTCTTGTTTAGATATTTGTGTTCCTTCCCTGCACCTGGCCACACTGGGAGCTCCTCATGGCTCTTGAGACCCCTATACTTGGACTGGTGCCTGATATACCAAAGGTATTCAATATATGTGTGTGGAGTGGATATATGGATAATGTGCTCCAGTTACTACCAAAATAATTTGAACAAAATACATTTGAGGTTTCTGTTTACCACCAACAAAAAAACTGATATATAATTAACATGTAACATTGTATTACTTTCAGGTGTACAAAACAATGAGTTGATGGTATATGCATAAATAGCTGACCCTTGAACAACATAAGGGTGCTGACACCCCCCCCCCCATGTCATAAAAAATCAGCATATAACTTTGACTACCCAAAAACTTAAGTTGTCCCTCTGTATCTGTGGGGGATTGGTTCCAGGACCCCCTGCGGATACCAAAATCCACGGATGCTGAGGTCCCTGATATAAAATGGTATAGAACAATGTATATGGTCAGCCTCCTACATCTGTGGATTCCCAACTGCATATCGATAATAGTTTTCCATACAAATACTGTTTTCTATCCATGGTTAGTTGATTCTGAGGATGTGAACCCGGGAGATAGAGGACTGACTATATATTTATTGAAAAGAAGTCTGTGTATAAAGTGGACCCTTGCAGTTCAAACCTATGTTGTTCAAGGGTAAACTGTATTGTAAAGTGATCACCACAATAAGTCTAATTAACATCCGTTAGTACAGTTAAAAATATTTTTTCTGAGATAAAATGTATAGTAATGTGACTATAGTTAATAGTATTGTATAATTAATAATATTGCATACTAGAAATTTGCTAAGAGGGTAAAACTTAAATTTTCTTACCATAAAAAAAGGACATGGTAACTATGTGAAGTGATGGGTATGTTAATTAGCTTGATTGTGATAATTATTTCACAATGTATTTGTATATCAGAACATCACATTGTATATCTTAAGTATATATAATTTTTATTTGTTAATTATACCTTAAAAAATCTTAAAAGTAATTTAAAGGGAACAAAACAATGTACTAAAGAAGAAATAATTGTTGAGTAAACGAAGATGCTTTTAGCGACTTTCAGATATATAATACAGTATTATTAACTGTATTATCAGTTGTAATGTACAGTCATCACACTATCCATTATATCCCCATGACTTATTTATTTTATAACTGGAAGTTTGTACCTTTTCACCCCTTGCACCCATTTTGCCCACCTCCTACCCCTGCCTCTGGCAAACATCTATCTGTTCTCTGTGAGTTCCATTTTCTTTGTTTTTTCTTTAGATTCCACATATGAAATCATACCATATTTGCCCTTCGCTGTCTGACTTATTTCACCTAGCATAATACCTTTAAGGTCCATTCATGTTCTCACAAATGGCAAGATTTTTCTTCTTTTTTTATTCCATCGTGTGTATGTGTATGTTTATAAGTGTGTGTGTGTGTGTGTTTACATACGTACATATATACCACATTTTCTTTATTCATTCATCCAGCCATCGATGGGCACTTGGGTTGCTTCCATGTCATGGCTATTGTAAATAATACTGCAATGAACATGGGCGTGCATATATCTTTTTGAGTTAGTGTTTCATTTTCTTCAGATGAATACCCAGAAGTGGAATTGTAGGATCAGATGGTAGTTTTATTTTTAACTTCTTTAGGAATCTATTTACTGTTTTCCATAGTGACTAAAGCAATTTATAGTCTCCCAGCAGTGCACAAGGATTCCCTTTTGTCCACATACTCACCGACACATTTCTTTTGATAATGACCATTCTAATAGGTGTGAGGTGTTATTGTGGTTTTGATTTGCATTTCCCTGATGATTTACTGATGTTGAGCATCTTTTAATGTACCTGTTGGCCATCTGTGTGTCTTTGGAAAAATATCTCTTCAGACCATCTTCCCATTTTTAAATTGGATTTCTTTTTTGCTAGAATTGTATGATTTCTTTATATATTTTGGATATTAGTCTTTCCTCTCATTCAGTAGGTTGCATTTTCATTTTGTTGATGGTTTACTTTGCTATTGAAGAGATGGTCCTTTCCCCATTGTATATTCTTGGCTCCTTTCTCATAAATTAATTGGCCATATATGCATGGGTTTATTTCTGAGCTCTCTATTCTGTTCCATTGATCTATAGTCTGTTTTTATGCCAACACGGTACTGTACTACAGGTTTGTAATATAGTTTGAAATCAGGAAGCATGATGCCACCAGCTTTTTCATCTTTCACAAGATTCTTTTGGCTACTTGGGGTCTTTTGTGGTTTTATACAAATTTTAGGATTTTTTTGCTGTTTTTTTGTGTGAAAAATGACATTGGGATTTTGATGAGAATTGCACTGAATCTGTAGATTTCTTTGGGTTGTGTGGACATTTTAACAATATTAATTCTTCCAATCCATAATCATGGAATATCTTGCCATTTATTTGTTTCTTCTTCAGTTTCTTTAATCAATATCTTAGAGTTTTCAGTGTACAGGTCTTTTACCTTCTTGGTTAAATTTATTCCTAAGTATTTTATTATTTTTGATGTAATCATAAATGAGAGTATTTTCCTAATTTCCCTTTCTCATAGGTAATTATAGTGTATAGAAACACAATAGATTTTTGTTTGTTGATTTTATATCCTACAGCTTTACTGAATTAGCATTCATTCCTTCTCCCTACAAACTTCCCTCCATTATCTAGCACAGCATCTGGCACATAGTAAATGCTCAATAAATACATGTGGAATTATGTGCTTGGCTACCTGAACTGTCTGTGTATGGAACTCTATGAAAAAGATATAACATTGGTGCCATATGTTACAGAACAATTGACTGACATTATCATAACTTAAGCCAATTAGTCTGACATCTATTGAGCACTTCTTACACATTAGGCACATTTACTATTGTGTCCTCAGAGCAACATCATTAAGAGGATGCTATTATTATTCCCCTGAGGTTAATAACCTGCCCAGCTAGTAAGTGGCAGAACCAGGACTGGATTCAGAGCCCTTTTATCCTTTAATGGAATACAGGCTCTGCAGCTCCCTCTTAAATCCCCTCTACTGCTTACCTGTCTCCCTGTCTTTTTCGCATATGAAGTTATTAATGTCTTCACACTGGAAATCGTTCCACTGCCCAGCGTAAATCAGCCCAGCACAGTCTTCTCCTGGCCCATGGCCATGGCCCCAGTCATCTGGCTGTCCGGCTTTCCAATTTCTTTTAACAAAACAGAAATTGAGTGTTAAAGTCATATAGAAGTTTTCTTTATCCAGAAGCATCAGGGAAATATAAAAAACCAAAACTGAAGCATGTCATTTGTTCTAGAATGAAAATGCATTGTTTAAAAACCCATTCCTACTTTTTTTTTTAATCTTTACCCAAGGATGTTTATTAATACATATCTATATATAGATATAGATGTATACAGCTATATCTATCTGTCTATGTCTATCATCTAGAGAGGGGGAGAGAGAGAGAGAGGGGTGAAGGGGGAAAGAGAGATACATTGATCAGTTGCCTCCCATACATGCTCCAACCGGGGATCAAACCTACAGCCTAGGTATGTGCCCTGACTGGGAACTGAACCCACAGCCTTTTTGGTACATAAGATAATGCTCCAACCAACTGGGCCACCTGGCCAGGGCCCATGCACAGTCTTATTCAGAATAAGAATCAGCTGTTTTGCAGAGTACGGCTATACCTTATTTGTGCATTGTTTTATACAAATTGAAGGTCAGACCCTCCACCAGCAAAATATCATGGCTCACTTTATCGCGGTGGTCTGGAACAGAGGTGTGCCTATAGTGTGCACCACAGCATCTCCCTACAGTAAATCCTTCTTCAACACAGTCAGATGAATGAAAACATTCCAGTGTGTACTGCAAGGCTGACTTGTGGGCATGTGTGTAAATATTTGTGTGTGAATTTATATGCACTCTGAGGATATGATACACACACTCTCTCTTGTGAGAACCTAGAGGAATCCTTGTACATTTCGATACCTTGCTTCTCTAACAAATCCGAGTCAGGCAGTGAAAGTGAGAGACCCTTGGTACACATTTACAAGAACCTACAATTACAAACACTTGGTTATGGTTGTCTGCTAAGTTGTAGATGGCTGATTGCTTTAGAAAGAAATAGTAATTTAATCTTATTGAAAATGACTCATACATTTCACTGCCTTTTTTGGAAGAGAGATTCTTAAAAACAAGTTTTCTTTAGGGTGAGTTCACTTGGGGCTTGTTAACTTAGATGCCACTGCTCAAATTACCACTTTGCCAGGGTTTGCTGTTCTGGATTCTATTTTCATGCAGTAAGTTAGATGTACTTTCAAGACTCAAAACCGGAAGGCTAAGTTTTCTCTAAGAAGCAGGTCTTACACAGAAGCCTGTGGTCACTGCCTGAGAAGACAAGCTTGCCTCACATGGAGGGTCCGAAAGAACATTTGCAGCAGGAGGCACTTCCCATAAACTATGACTCATTATTCCATCAGCCATAGTATCCTAGGGCCACCCGAGGATAGAGACCAATTGTCTTACATCTTTTGACAATAAAACCAGGAAAATCAGAGGGCAGTGGGAAAGGACAGTTGAAATTTACAGTTAAAGGGTGGGGCAACAAAGTAGAATAGACTCTCCCACACCAAATGTATGTTTTGGGATTTAAAAAAAAAAAAAAATGAGTGACCTTACTTAAATTAGTGATGAAAAGGTAATTTAGATGATACTGTCAACTGATGAGAGTAAAAACAGGGTAACAGGAGGGAGAGTTAAAAATACTAATTCATACTTTCACAGCACAGATATCCACAGAGTACCTACTATGGTTCAGGGATAATTCCAGGTGATGGCAACACAGCAGAGCAGAGAATAGACAGAGCCCTAGCCCTCACAGAACTCACACAGCAGGCAAGAAACAAATGAATTAAAAATCTCAGACTGCCACAGTGATGCCAGAGAGAAATAAAGTTGGAAGGAAAAATAGTTTATTTTCACATGAATGCTTTTTTAAAAAAATCCTCACTGAAGGACATGCTTAGAGAGAGGAAGGGAGAGAGAGAGAGCAAAACATCGATATGAGAAACACTGATCAGTTGCTTTCCATACTCACCCTGACCAGAGACCGAACATGCAACCCAGGCCTGTGCCCTGACTGGAAATCAAACGGCAACCTTTTGGTGCCCAGGATGATGCTCAACCAACTGAGCCACTCCTGCTGCGCACGTGGATGCTTTTTTGTGTATTTCTGTCCACCTTGCAGAACTCTTCTGGAAATGTCAGTGATGCCTGAGTAGATTGCTCTCGTTGATGTACATTTTGTTTATTTCTGTCAGTAATGTGAGGGGGTTTCATTCTAATTTTGTTTACTGAATTTGAGATCTGTGATTCCTGAATGTATAATGCTGGGGCATTTGATATTCTTTATTTCTCAGTTAATTGGGAAGTTGTATAAATATGATTTCTGATAGAAGACCTGATTAATATTTTCCCCTTGATTTCCCTGATAAGAGGGATTTGCAGACTAGACAAAATGATAACTGATAAGAGAGATACTTTTTATCACCATTCTCCATTTTCCCCCCAGGTCATTGGAATTCTTCACATAGAGGGGTCAAGGCTTTCCTTCAAGACTAAAGATAGAATGCAGTTCAATGGAGGTGAGTAGAGTGGCTGAGGTGGGACCACTGTGGTTGGCTGGTGGAGTAGCCTGAAGCCAGGCTGCAGGGGCATTCTCTCCTGTAGACTGAGCAACAAAAGTCTCAAAGCATCTCTTTGGAAAAGCTAAAAGCACATGGAGTGATTTGTGGCAAACCCCAGTCTGCATGCTTGTAATAAAACAGGATAGAACATGTTAAATAAAGAGAATATATATATTTTAGAGATAAAATTCAGCTTAAATAGCACAACTTCATTCATGGATAGATTTTGGGACAAGAATAGAAGAAGCCTAGGCTGAAAATCCCAGAATCTATTATAAAAATACATCACAGAAGTGGTTGGGTAGCAACATACGTATGTAGTTGGATAACATATTGTAAGTACATCAGGGACCTAAGCACTTAGACTCACTGTTCCAGTGAGCTGGAAACACACAAGCACATTAGCTGTGGTTGTCACCCTCCCCCCAGGATTCTGGGCTGACCCTAATGGAGACAGAACACAAAGCCCCAATCTTGGGAATCTCCCCTTCCAACCTCACAGCTTAGTAACTTTCTCATCGACCACAAGATTGATTGAGGCTTCATGGCCAAAAAACTTCTGCTGGTAAGATCCTGGCTTCAAAATAGGAAAATCTTACTAGTGAGTATTTCTTTGCTGTGGAATTTGCTCCTGCTATAGGGGTCTGTACAGTGGAAGACTTCTCTCTAGTGGTATGAGCCAGTGCCACTCTGATAGGTGCATGAAGCATGGACCCCAGAGTGAGTTATTACTGAGTTAGAGGACACTGAGGGTTCCCTTCTGGTCCCTACCATTCTATGGCCCTCTATTCTAAAGTCACAGTATATAATATTATATGGAGCAGTCTGCATGGACAGCAAGCCGACCCAGGTTTTATCTTTGCAATGTAGAGATAAAAGCTGTCACTCATACTTGACAGCACACTTCCACCAAGTAATGTCCTGTGCAAGGGACCAAGAAGTAGGCAAGAATAAAGGAGATACAGTGTGCTTCAGGAAACACTCAGGAAGAATATCTAAAGTGGGCAACTGCAAGCTGGGTGGGCAGGCCAGGCCTTAAAAGGCTACCTCAGCTCTGCTCTGACCAAGTGGGCAGGGTCTACATATCCCATGTGTGTCTGATTCCCTGTGCTAACACAGCCTCTGTAACAGTGACGACCTCTGTCAAAGGATGTACCTGCATTTATTCCATCAAGAGTAGAAAGATTAGCTTTGACATGGTCTTGGCTCACAGATCCTCTTTGGTTTGTCTGTTTTCTGTTTCATTCTTCCCAGTCTTTATTGTTTCCTTCCTTCTACATACTGTGGGATTAATGTGCTCTTCTTTTACCTTCCGAAAGTAGAGGCTAAGATCATGGATTTTCAACTTAAAATTTTTTCTAAGTGTTTTAAATCTATAAATGCCCTTCTAAACACTGTTAGCTGCATCCCAAAAAACTTGATATGTTGTGTTTTAATTTTGTTTGAAACATTTGCAAATTTCCTTTGTGATTTCTTCTTTGACCCATGGGTTATTTAGAAGTGTGTCCTTTAATTTCTAAATATTTGGGGATTTTATAGCTATTTTCCTGTTCTTGGTTTCTAATATAATTTTGTTTTGGTCAGAGAACATATTATACTCTGTATAATTCCATTGCTTTTAAATTTATCAAGACTTGTTTGAGGGTCCAGCATATAGTTTATCTTGGTGAAAGTACCATATGCACTTGAAAAGAGTGTGTATTTGTAGTTGTTGGGTGAAATGTTCCATAATGTACATGAAGCTGACTTAGTTGGTGGTGTCTACTATATCCCTTCTGGTTTTTCTACTTGTTCTGAGAGGAGAATGTTGAACTCTCCTTTGAAGCCCTGCTCTTTGCTGTGTCCACATTTAGGGCTGGTGCATACGTCTTCTGGATTGTGTCCCTGAAATCAGATTTCCTTACATGAGTGGAAGACCACCGCCTCTCGCTCATATGCTGCCGCACCGTCTAGGAAAGATGCCCCTGGGCAGCATGGAGGCTGGCTTACAGAGGGCGCTGCAGGGTAAGTCACCCACTGCTACCACAGGGCTGGGGCCAGCAGATCCCAGTCTCTAGTCAGGAAGCCTGGAATGAAGTTTTCACAGGTCTGTGGTGAAAAGAGAAACATAAGGACAGTGTGTATGTGTGTATGAGTGTGTGTATGATGGTCAGTTGTCTTTTCTTGAAAAGGATTGTAGATTTTATTTTTGTTTGTTTTAGTGCTGCAATTTATTGACAGGTGATTTTTAAAACCCATGCCCATAGTTGGCAAATAAAATCTTGGCGATGTGTGTCAGCCTTCCAGTCTTTTGGTATTTTACTGGTGTGTGGACTCGAAGCGTCCGGGACCCTGTCTTGGGCACTGTTCTGAGACCTCCCAGACAGTTTCTCATGCCTTTCCTTTCCTCAGTAGTGGGTCCTAACAGTCAGTGAGTCAGGTCATATACTTTATGGGAAATAAACCTGAGCTCAGATCTGCATGTGCCCACAGCCTTTGGCGTCCATTCCATGTGACTTGCTTTCTGTCTGTTTATTCCAGCGCTGTCTTTCTCAATCAGATACCAGCATAAAACATGGAGATGTTGCAAGAGGCAGAGGAGAGAGCCTTTTATCCCTTGTCTAGTTCCTTTTTAACAGTAACCATAAAACCCTGAGACAATTTCAAAAGGGCATGTAAATGTGTGTGTAAAAAGGGCAAGAGGCAATCTGTGGCAAGGGAAAGGGAAGCCCACGAGCCAGTGCCTAGAGGCCACAGGAGCAACGAGGAGGAGGGTAATGGTGAATCTGACACACGGAGAAGTGTTTGGGGAGACTCACCCTGATGGGAGACCCCTGAGAGCCTGACACCCAGTCCCTGTGCCAAGGCATAGCAGAGAACATTCTTCTTGTCTTCTTTACAAACTTAGTATGATATCTGGGATACTGTGTGTGGCATCTCAATCAGGATAATGTATAATATATAAATGCTAGGTAGTATTGTTCTGCAGTTACTGACTAGTATGAAAATACTTAGGATTATGACAACAATACCAATATTAGCAGGTGACATTTCTTGAGCACTTCCCATGACCACGTACGTACTAAATGCTTTATACATATTATCTCATTAAATAGTCACAATACCGGTGTCGGTCCTTTCGTGATACTCATTTCTATACGAGGACATGGAGATTTCCCATGGTTGAGTAGCTCGCACAAGGTCACACAGCTGTTGAGTGCTGGGTCAAGGCCTGGAGCCCAGACCATTGGCTCCAGGGCATGTGCTCTCTCCCCTCGCTGCACTGGCTCTCTTTCTAGTTTGTGCAATGTTTATTATTCTATGTCAAGTTAAATTAGCCTTCAGTTATTGAGGCCTCATAATATGTCTACCTACTTTATTCCTGTGTTTAAAATTTGATCCTGGGGGGTTTTTACATGTATGTGTATTCCTGTGGGTGGAAAATGAGAAGCGCAGGCTGTGCTGTGGCCGGGGACAGAGTCCCTGGGAAGGTGTCTGGTGATGTAATCCTTCTCAGGTCCTAGGGACCAATGCTGGTACTCTCCTTCCAAATCATATAATTCTTGCTGGAGCCTGGGGAAGAAGAGGAAAGTCCCACCTTGGGAGAGCTGGCGTAGACAGTGATGTTTCTTCTCAATCCCTTCCATATGGGCCAGTCCATTTTTTTCTTGGAGGAAGGCTTAAGATTGAATTTCTTAGTGAGTCTAACCCAGACCTTTTCTGCATTTATGGCTGTGAGAAAAGTAGAGGAGACTGATTTTTTTTTTCCCCAGCTCCCCTCTGACTCGCTTACAAAAAGGCTTTGGCACTCTTAACTGTCAAAGTCACAGATTTATCCTTTCCTTTAATCATCTCTGCCTCCCACACCACCTCCAGCCCTCCGCTGCTCCGATTTTTGGTGCCAACTCTCAACTGTTCGAGTCTCCTGAAGTGCAAGTCTGTCGTGCCCGGTGCTCTCCTCCGGCTGATAGCCAAGTTCCTGGGGATCAGGGTATAGTGTCACTTCCTCTCCCCCAGGACAGGCGCAGAGGGGAGCAGACAGGATATTTGTCCGATGGCCGGCAGGCTGACACCCATATGCCCTGGGGCCAGGCTGAGGCTCCGCTCAGCAGATCGAAAATCTTCAAATGTTCCATCTCTACTTGCAATCACTCTTTTTTCTTTTTTTTTTTAAAGACAGGGCCTCATTCTGGTCCATCTATTTCTTCTAACCACGCTTTTCATGTGGAGAATTTAAAGGTACAGAGAAGCCTCTATCTACCCAGGTACCTGTGGCCCCTCCACCACCTTGGATCCTCTCCTGCTCCTTGACTCCTACAGGATCGGCCTCAAAGGCCGTGACACTGTCTGGGACCTGATACATCCTTGCTTTCTCCACTCTCAGTACCATGGATGCTGCAGTCTCCTCCCTGCTTGGGACATGCTCCCAAAGCTGAGATGCGGGCACCTCTGCAGAGCCTGCCTCCTCTGTCTCCAGAAGGATTCAGAAGTGGGTTTTTATAAATTCTCCATTTGGTAGAGTTTATTGCATATTTCCACATCCATTAGAGGCAAAGCAGGACTAGGACAAAGTGAAATTTAAATTGGCACAATTTAGTCATCTTCAGACCTTTGGGCAGAATTAGGGATGGTGGACACCTGGGGTAGGAGGAGGCTTGTGGAGACCTCTGGGCCCCTAGGAGCTCAGACAAGGTGCTGTGACATGCTTCCATCCTTTGCCGCTGCCTTTAGAGAACTCAGGTCACATCGGACCACACAAGGGAATCTTCAAGCCTTCAGAAGAAGGTTATCTTACAAACACCTTTGTTCGTGGTGCACTTGAACTTCCCGTGTAAACTTGCAGTTTGTAATTATGCTCTGGACAGAAGCCCAGCTGGGTTAGGGTGAACTCTGAATGTGCCTGAGGTCGTCTGGGCTCCCTTCTCCTTCATAGCAACATTTAAAGAGAATGTTTTGGCCACAAGTGTGGTTTTTATGAGTCTGCTTTTTTTTTTCCTCACAGAAATGAAACAAACTCACTCCCCAAAAAGAAAAACCCTATTTTATAGCATATAGAGTCCCAACCACGATTTCCCTTCATAGCAATACACAACTGGTACCAGGAACCTCAGTGTGAGGAGTGTCTAGGACATTAGGCCGTTACGGAGGAAACTGTAGGGAGTCAGGCAAGAGGTGAAACACAGAACAGGGAGAGTCTGACCACCCATCTGAAAGTTCCTGAGCACTCACTTATACTCCGGAGATGTCCCGTCCAGCCACTTCCATTCGCTCTCATGCTCCAAGTCCGTGAGGCCGATCCAGTGGCTTTCTCTCCCTACCATCTGCTTTTTGATCCATTGCTGAACAATAAACCAGAGATGGTGCATTAGTATTTCTTAGAACAGATGTCTGGGGGGCTTCCCCTCCCCTAGCATTTAGAAAAAAAGGACAGTTTAAAAGAGGATGTGTCCGCACCTTGGCCTGCTTTTGCTGTCCTTTTTATTGTACTTGTTTTGTTTTGCACTGTTTTGGGGGCTTTGACAGTTTTTCTCTTACAGACTCATAAGTGATATTTCAGTGATGCCCTTCCTCCTCTAGATCACCCAGACTACTTTGTGAATTCAGCCAGCTCCATCCCCTTCGACCATACATCCCTCCTGTGCTCGTCTACAATGGCAACAGCCAGGCATCATCGAGCTCCTCCTCTGGGCCAGGTGCCATGTCCAGTGCCGTCGCCTGCAACGCATCTTTAAGCCTAACCTATGTAATAAAGACAAGCGGCTGGGCTGGGATTGGGCCCAGCTCTGTATATCCTAAAGCCCGGGCACCTGACTGTATGTTCGTTCCCAGTCAGTCACTGTGGGAAGCATCTGTTCCCAGGGTTGTGTTTGCTGGAGATACTTAGAGAAAAGGAAGGAGGCCACTGGAACAGCGTGGCACAGAAGAAAGAGCATCGACATTGTTGCTAGATGGACCTCACTTTTGGGCTCAGCTCTGCATTTATTTGTCAACCCGTGAATAAATCATTTAAACCTTGTGAGGCCTCAGTGTTCTTATCTGTTTGGTGGGGATAATAATACCCCCACTAGGGTTGTTGTAAGGCTTAAAGGAGAAAACGCCTTGTACGGTGCCTGGCACACAGTAAGGGCCTTGTGAGTGGTCACCATCGTTATCCTGTGTGGGCTCTGTCCCTATGGCCTTTTCTGCTCTTCCTGACCCTGCTGGGGCCACATGTCTGGTCCCTTAAACCTCACTCCACCTCAAGGGGCTCATGCCTCTTTGCCTCTCTCTCCTCAGGTGCCTGGGGCCAGTCCATAGGCTTCTCTTCTGCGTTACTGCTCTTCACAGCCACCGGGAGGAGCCACATGTCTCCCAGGCTGCACGAGCAATCTTCCAGGTGGAAGCAAGAGGATATAATTCCCATGCCAGGAATGCTTCTTGTCACTGGACAAAGCCCAAATCTCCATAATGCAACCTCCTGTGTTTATGTGACCAGGAATTCTTGATATCATTGACTCCCCAGTAAGCATGCAATTTCCAGATGTAAACTATCCCTAAATTATAGTTTTCCCCAACTCAAAGTATGCTACAAACATACCTGTTCCTCTCTTGTGTTTATGAAAACGAGATGTGAAGACTTGTCTTCACAGAAAAGTTTTGCATCCTCAAAAATTTCTTTCTCAACCGAAAAATAGTAGCATTTGTCTGTGAAATTCTTCCAGTGAGGAGGGCAGCCTAGGAATGCAAAGGTTTACAACACTGATTAAAAACAAAACATGGAAAGCACCATCCTTCTTCAGCTGTGTGTAAGAGGCACAGCCACCGCCCTGCTTCCCTCACAGACCAGGAGTAGCCCTGCATCCGTGCGGGGAGCCCGTGACCGACGCTCACGGACATCCTGGGAGCAAGGGCAAGTACAGGGAACGGCAGAGCACACAGTAGTTAAAACTACATAATTTGGAAAGTATCTGTGCTGGGTCTCTGCTCCTGTGCATCTGGATTAATCTTTACGACAACAGAAAAACGCAGTGTAGGCCACCTGGAATCAGATGGAACCTACAGATAACTACGTGGGACAACCCAGAACCCAGTTGGGCTCACAGGACTGTAAAGATGACCTGAGTTGTACTGAAGGAAATCCAGTAGAATTGGGTGTGGATCAAAGGAGAGAAAAATAGGCTTGGTTGCAAACCCAGCATTTAGGATTTTACCAAAGGTTTAATTATGGAAGGAGTAGAAGTCACCATAGTATGTCCTCAAAAGAAGTGAAATCTAGGCTTCAGTAGCAGAAAGTTCCACCTGCATGTTAAGTGAGGGACGTGTGTCCCCAGGTGAAGGGCAAAAAGTGAAGACAGGATGGACAGGATGGGTCGAGGGTGGCCAGCCTTGGACTTTCATGAAGGAAATGTCTGGGGACGTGTTTTTCCCTGAGGGCCTGACTCAGCTAAATAAACAAGTGCTAGAGAACCTGATCGTGTTTAGAGAGAAACATGTGCCTGAGTGACGCAGCCTGTGAGAGCAGCAGGGGCACTGTGCCTCCCCCACATGAAACCTCACTATCAGATAAAATAGGGTGTGGGGGAAGCATGGAGCAGCACACTGGGCACCAGCCCAGCCACAAGCACACACACTGCCCCTGTCCCCTGGTGCCAGGGAGGGTTCAGATTTACCATTGGCCTCAGGTGCTGTTGTTGGCTCATTCTGGAGGGCCAGGGGCACTGCTGCTCCTGATGTGCCTGGGGGGCCTGGAGGGCCCCTGGGGCCTGGCATGCCTGGCACCCCAGGCAAGCCTGGCAGCCCCCGCGGTCCAGGCACCCCGGGTTCCCCCACAGTGCCCTGTAGTCCCTGGAAGCCAGGAGGGCCCTGGGGGCCGGGGAGTCCATCCTTGCCTGGAGGGCCTGGAGGGCCGGGGTCCCCATTGGGTCCCTGAGGGCCGGGCTTCCCTGGGGACCCGCGGGAGCCTTTGGCACCCTGAGAGCCTTTGGAGCCTTTGCTGCCTCGCTCTCCAGGGGGGCCGACTGGCCCAATTGGGCCCCTCTCACCAGCAGGGCCAGGTGGACCAGGCTCCCCCTTCTCTCCTTTCTGTCCCTTGTTGCCAGTGGGACCAGGGGGGCCCTGCTGTCCTCTGTCACCTTTCGGACCCCTGGGGCCAGGAGGACCTAAAACAAAAATATAAACGGAACAACATGAAATCCATTTTACGTGATAGTGAAGCATTTATCTTCTTATAAAACTTCCAATTAAAAAAAAACTTAGACATACAAAATATATACATTAAGGATTGCTTACTGTTTTAGCATGTTATTGTTGACAGTCTCTTTCTTTAACAGAGATGTTTCTTTACTAAGCTCACCCCTCCCGCTCCAAGCATTTAGAATAGATCTTAACAGCACACAACTTCCCAGTACCCACTGATGTTTTAGGGGAAGACAGCTTCCAGTATCAACATGATTCACACCATTTACGTAGGCTCTTTAGTCAACTGGGACTATTTGTCACCAGCAAAACCTGCGAGTTGGGATCAAGATTCCCTCCTACTTATGCTTTTTCCCCCCTTATTTGACAAATATTTATTAATGACCTGTTATATGACAAGCACCANGCCAGTGGGACCAGGGGGGCCCTGCTGTCCTCTGTCACCTTTCGGACCCCTGGGGCCAGGAGGACCTAAAACAAAAATATAAACGGAACAACATGAAATCCATTTTACGTGATAGTGAAGCATTTATCTTCTTATAAAACTTCCAATTAAAAAAAAACTTAGACATACAAAATATATACATTAAGGATTGCTTACTGTTTTAGCATGTTACTGTTGACAGTCTCTTTCTTTAACAGAGATGTTTCTTTACTAAGCTCACCCCTCCCGCTCCAAGCATTTAGAATAGATCTTAACAGCACACAACTTCCCAGTACCCACTGATGTTTTAGGGGAAGACAGCTTCCAGTATCAACATGATTCACACCATTTACGTAGGCTCTTTAGTCAACTGGGACTATTTGTCACCAGCAAAACCTGCGAGTTGGGATCAAGATTCCCTCCTACTTATGCTTTTTCCCCCCTTATTTGACAAATATTTATTAATGACCTATTATATGACAAGCACCATATAAGGTGTTAGGATACCTGAAGAGTTGAATTAGACCAAAAAAAAAAAATGCTATCAAGTGTTGAGAGGCATTGTCCTGTTAACCACTCCGGAGAGGCCTCTTCCTCCCTGTTGCATTCCACCTGGCGTTCCTGTCCCCTCCACCAGTGCTGTGGGGACACTATTGTCCTTAGAGCTGAGCCTCACTCATCATGGGCCCGCTCAGAGGGTCAGGAGGTCTTGGTGGGAAAGTGCTCTCCAGGCCAGGCTGAGGAGGATCAGTTTCACTTTTTCCAGCTTGTTAGTCTAATAATGCAAATAGGGAAGGTGGGCTAGAGGGAAAAAATAGGTGGACCGTTGAATTGGCAGGGAAGGAAGAAAGAAAAAACCTACTGTTTTCTACCAGAAAAGGAAACAGCAGTTCTTGAAAAAGCAGGGGCCAGGGTGGGGAGGCAAATACCTGCTCATCTCTGCTCATCCCATAAAGCAGGTCACTTAACATAGGACTGTTTTCTTTAAGTTCTCGGGGCTGAAAGGGAGCTTCACACAAATACACCATAATTCTGTATAGTGAAGGACAGCTTTCAAGGGACTTTCACATCTGTTATGTCACCTGACCTTTGTCTATGACATTACTCCCACAGCACATTTGAGGACACTCAGGGCCAGAGACAAGCTCTTTGTTCAAATCAAGGTTACTTAGCTCCTCAGGACAGATATACCTGAGTGCTAAGCTGTTCACCTAGCAGGATATGACACAGGCAACCCCAATCAAGCAGTGGAGCTGGGACAGGAATTCAGGTCTTCTTATGTTGAAATGAATGTGACTCAGAGGACACTGTTTTCAGATGTTCTCCCCAGAATGTTAGAGTTGCTGAGATCTCACTATTCCACATGAAGGAGTAAGAGAGGCCCACACTCATTCCACCTTTCAGGCTGGAAGGTGGAGGTGACGGGGAGATGAAGGGTGAGTAGGCCTCCCGCCCTAAGTTTTCTCTATTCCCTACACCACCACTCCCTCACCAGCTGGTCAGACAGAACTGTGAAGCAGCCCTTCCCACCTTTGTAGGACACGCTCTGCCCTCCCCCCACCCTAGGCCCTGACGGATATCACTGTACTCTCAAGCTATCCATGGCCCCAAGTCCAACCCATCCATCACTGCTCTCCCTTAGCAGGCACCTGGGCCCGGGACTCAGCTTTCTTTATTTAAGGTTACCATGATGTCACTCATGGATTTACTGGCAGGACCCTCTGCAGAGCTGTAAGAGTTTATGCTAGTGGCTAGGACGAGCTTCATGCATTCCTTTTAGGGTTTTCTGCTCCATAGGGGGAGACTTTAGGAGACTTTGAGATGAAGGACTCTCCTTGAATCTGACTCATTGGCTTCTGCCCACCAGCTCCCAATAGCTCCTCCTTATTATCAGCTCTCCTAGGCTCTGGGTCCTTATTTCCGTCTTATAGGCAGATGGTCCACTTTCTCCAGGATGTCTGGCCAACACCTCCAACTTGCCATGTCTACAAGTGACCTTATCATCTCTGTTGTTTAAGTCCTTCCATCATTTCTTATCCCACCACATCATCATAACCGTCTTCCTTTCCGTTACTTGTCACAACCCTAGTGTGGGTGTTGTCTCTTTCCCTCACTCCTGTCCCTCTCTCTGTCTTTCTGGTAGATTTTTATGCTCTTCCTATCTCTGATTCCTGCCCATTCATTCATTCCACTCTGCATTTTCCCACATTTGTCCTTACACACAATTCTGATCTCCACTTGGTCTAGAATATTCAGCCCCCATATAACCATTTGGTATCAAAGGCTTTCATGACCTGGCCTCACTGTTGATTCCATCCTAGCTCTGGACTTTTGCAAATCTCTTCTCTTAGAATTTCCTTTGCCTATAGGCATCTGGAAAATTCATATTCACCCACCATGTAATCCTCCCAGGCCACTGCAGATGGAAGTTTTCCCTTCTCTAATCTTTCAGTCCTTGTTTGTTCTTTGAGGACACTGCCCCATCCAGCAGCCAGCAGTGTCTGGCACAGGGTCATTATTCAGTAAGTGTTTATCAAATCAACATGCACCACCTGTCAAAAGGCCTAGTGCACTAATGCCAACATGTTGGGCCTCAGGAGAGACCAGAAGGGAGAGATTTGGGGGGAACAGTGACCGGCCTGGTGTCCCTCACCTTTTTCTAAGAAATACAGCTCCACTCAGTCTACATGTCAGGTTGATCCTGGATGCCACTGTGGAATGAATGATCATGGGGACATCTGTCTTTCTTGATTCTACTCACACTTAAAAATTGATCCAGTGATCTTATCTGCAATCTTTTTTCTGTTTAACACGAGGAGGCTCATTTAAATAGCTTAGGGCATTTAGTGAAGATTGAGAAGGTGGGTTTTCATTGCTAGATCTATCTCCTTTAAAAAAGTAACTTAGCCCGGCCGGGCGTGGCTCAGTGGTTGAACATCGACCTGGGATCCAGGCGATTCCTGGTCAGGGCACATGCCCAGGTTGTGGGTTCGATCAATGACTCATCATTGATGTTTCTATCTCTCTCTCTCTCTCTCCTTTCCTCTCTCTGAAATCAATAAAGATATATTTAAAAAATAAAAATAAAAAAGTAACTTAGTTCCTTTGTGTAATTAAGAAAATAGTGTCCTAGAGTTTAACAGCGGGGAAGGCAGCATTATGGAAGGCTCTGGTGAAACAATATGGACAGTCAGTCAAAACAAAACAAAATTCTAATTGGAGTAACAGCAAAAATAAAAGTAACTTTTCTTTCTCAACTATTTCTGTCTTGTTTGTGTTCTCTGTTTAGCCTTAAGAAATCCAAATAGTGAAGAGGGTCTGTTGGCAAACTCAAGTGCTTTAGAAATTTGTTATCCTTAATCGATGAGTTTGGACAATAATCAGTGTTTCTCATTCACTTACATCTGGGGTTGGTGCTACACTCGCAAGTTATGGGAAATGAGTTTACCTGCGTCTATGAAATAGTGACTGTTCAGAGGCGTGTCCCCCTGACCTGACAGACCCATGTGGCAGGGAGCAGTATTTCCTCCAGGACACCTTCCTCTGGTTTCTGACAGAATTCCAAGGACACACAACACTCTTCCTCTCCTGACATGAAGCCAAGACTGTGGCTTTTCATTCATTTCTCTTTGTTTCTGGGCACGGGTAGTTTGTGGTGGTCAGCTACTTCCCTCTGGACTGGAAGTACTCCTTGAATGTCTCCACTCACTCCACACTGAAGTTGTGGCTTATTTTAAGAATGGCATAAAACATGGATCCCACAGTCAGTAGATGCTAATTTCTAGATCTTGTGAAGGAAGAGAATAGATATTGGGAGAAGACGCAAGTTTTTGCCTTTCATAAAAACTGATTTTTTCATATGAGGCACTATATCCATCACAAATAGGTTACCTGTCTAAGTTTAATATTTATGGCTGCGGATAAAATCCTAGCATGCAAACGGTTACCAATGCCTCCATCCACAGCTGCCCCAGCCTTGGGAAACCCATCATGGACCTAGAGCAGGAAGCTGGCTCTCTGCCGCCTGAGACTGGGCTTTGTGAAAAGGTACTGTAGGTGTCCCATACATAAGGGGATTCAATCTTCATATACTTTGCTCATTAAGAGCATACTTTGCTCATTAAAACGTAAAAATTTTATGTTTCTTTTTAAAAACACTAAGAAAAAGAGCCAAAATCATGTTAAAAGTCAGCCCTGGTTTCCCATTAAAAGTAGATTATTAATGCCAGGGGTATATCTTCCTCCAGGACCTGGGACGCTAGTATCATTTTATTAGCATCTGGATGATCCCAGGCTTTTAGGTCTTACTTGAAACTTTTATTGGGTGGCTGTTGAAGTGAAAATAAAAGGAAATAAAATATAAGCTACCTTTAGTGCCTCAAAACTGAGAACACTGGGATAAATGATGTGGGAGTATTTATGAGCTTGTGCAGTAACAACTTGAGTTTAGTCGAGAGAATGGTTACGCTACATGTGGAGGCACATGTGATGTCCCATACAGAAGCAAATCTGAGATTTGCTTTCAAGGCAAAGTGGGTGGCTCCCTGGCTCAGGATCTAAAATGCCAGGATACCCATGTTGCTGGTAAAGCCATTGCAAGCTCCAGAAATGCCCGAATATGAACTCTGAGCAGCCTGTGTTTGCTCTGCCAGCAAAACCTCCTCATATTCCCCAGACCCAAGAGCTGGGAGCCCAGAACACCCGAATCCTCCAACCAAGCAGTTCAAAGAGGACGGAAGGCTTTAAATCACTGTTCTGTTTCCACTTTGGCAACCAAACTGCAGACCTTGAGAAGGGCCCAGCCCCTGTCCTTTCCACTTGGCTTTCCAGCAAGACTGCTGGTGCTTAACATAAGGTAGAGAAACAACTTTAGTTCTCAGTGCCATCCAAAACCTTGGAGACTCAATTTTAGAACCATGAGTGGTAAGGTTGGAAGAACAGAGGAAAATAGTAATGTGAACTGATGTATCTTTCTTCTCATTTAAAAATCTACTTTGCAATTAATCAAACATTTATTAAACACCTACAACATGAAAAAGTCATTCTG